TTTGTGTTTGAGACCATACCATGCAATGGTTAATTGTGCTGCAGAGAAAATAGCTGCACTATTTAATAGCCGAGACATGTAAATACTTTGCATTACATTTTGAATCCACTACCTTAAAAGAGCTCCAATTTACAGACAGAAATGTCAAAAATGTTACAACTATCCCCGGTCTCCCCTACAGGAAGTTCATATTTGGTTATTTATATCAGCCCTCACTGCCAACGTGTCTTTATTCATATGACCACTAGGAGTCATCGGAATACATGCGTTTCCTCCACTATGATGACCTCTATTTTTTTTTTTAAAGGGAGCTACTGAAACTACCCTCCCACAAAATACTTCCAGATAAGCATCAACCTCAAAATACACTACATGTATCACAAATGCAGAACTATATCATTACTACAATTAACTAAGTGAAAAAGTACAAATCACTTTTACTACAAACTCACACCAAAGGCAAATACGCAGTCTAGCTACTAAATATATTCATTCACTAGGGATGTAGTCCAGCACTTCCCCTGAACTTACCTAGAAATATTAACAGTGTCAAATGGTAGTTCACACACATTTCTTTCTCCAGTGTAAGGTAAATTTGATTAAGACACACATATTAAGCCACATGTGTAATCAAAACACTTAACAGCACCATTTAGTGTAAAAGCTTATAATGATGGAAATAGGTTTTGCTTATAACTGTCAGAAAAATATATAAATTATATCTTTGAGATCACCTTTGATTTACTCCTGATAAATCTAAACCAAACCAAAGTGTTCTGGGCTTCTCTTCGGTGGATTCACAGGGGGCTTTGGAGACACAAGGAGATGCACTATTAGTACCACTCGTTGTATTTTTGCATGTCAGAGGTTTATCTCTGTGTTTGCTACACTTGCTAACACCTGTTCTTTCAGATATTACATCTGGCAAAGGATTTATGTAGATCCCAGAGTTATTATCGTGGTCATTTTGATGCTCTGTGGGTGTATGTTCTGAAGCTGCAGCAAGGTTGGACACAGACATGTTCTCATAGATATGAAGGTGTACGCTAGATGTCGTTTCTGTTGGTTCAGTTGCTGGTGGATCCAGTCTTTGATGGTGTGTATGAACAGAGGAACGCCCAGGTAACCTCTGAAGATGCTCTGCTCCCTTGAAAACAGACAAAAATAAAAAACAAACATAAATAAATCAGAATTTTCTTATATGTTCAAAATATTTATTTTATTTTATTTTACTCACATGGCATTGAATAGCATTACCTTTTAGCTGAGTAATTACTATGTGAATTAGACAACAATTTAAACAGTAAGGATAGAGGCATGCACGGTGCCATCAAAATGTATTTCCCCTATTCCTGATTTCTCAGTTTTTTGCATATTTCTTACACTTAAATGTTTCAGAGCATTGAATACATTTTTGTTTATTATTTAAAGAGAACTGGAGTAAATACAAAATGCATTTTAAAAAAAATGTTTATTAAGGAAAAATAAGTAATCCAAATCTTCCTGGCCCTTTGTGAAAAAATAATTGCATCCTCTTGTTAAATCATCATCAAGTCATTAATTAACCTTTTTTTTTTGAAAAGCTAAGTTCAATTTCACTACACACACCTAGACCTGCTAACTTCCAGACCTGTTTGATAAAGAAAACACTTAAATAGAGCCTGTCTGCCAAGGAAAAGTAGGCTAAAACACATCATACCACAATCTAAAGAAACGGCTGAAAAACAAAGTAATTGACATCTATCAGTCTAGAAAAGGTTACAAAGCCATTTCTAAAGCTTTGGAACTCTAGCAAACCGCAGTCAGAGCCATTATTAACAAATATCAAAAACTTGGACTAGTGGTGAATCTCTCCGGGTGTCACTGGCCGACCAAAATTATTCCAAGAGTAATAAACAAAAAAAGAATCCAGAAAAACATCTGGAGAAATGCAGTAATGACTGGCTTTAATTAAGGTCAGTGTTC